GCCAGGCTGGCTGCGCGTTCGTGGCTTAGCTGCGGCCAGCCGGCCACTGGGGCCGTAGCCCGGGCCTTCTGCGGCGAGTTTGCCCGATGAGCGAACTCAGCCGGTGTTGCTCGTGCCTGGCGTTCGTTGTCCGGGCACGGAGACCCAGGGAACGCCCGCAGCCATTCGATCTGCGGGGTGCAACCTGCGGGCAGGTCCCCAGGTCCCCTGGACGTTTGGGTTTTCAGGCAGAGAGGCTCTGCGTTCAGGTCAACCACCACTGCCGCCCTGGCACTTGAATGGGGAGAGGGGTCCCCTCCCAAACTTCTGCCCACTCCCCATTATGCCAGAGCCAAAGAAACAAGGCACCAGCCACCTACAGCTCTTGGGAACTATTCCTGCTGACACCAGTGGGGTCAATACCTGAAACCTGAAGGTTGCTCCAGACACAGCAATTGTCAAGGACAAAAGATTCTGTCAGAATCTCACAAAAGAACTGCCCCCCCCCCCGCTTTTCTTTTATAGAGGATTGGTCACAAAAACAGTTTCCCCCACCCCTAAAAATCCAGTCAATTGTTCAGTTGATCTTGGCAGGTGGAAACATGATTGTGTTCGCCCTCTGTGTCTCAAGTTAAAGGTCCAGTGGCTGAATTCACACGTTTGCTTTTAACTTGGATGATGATGGTTTTCGTGGCTTAGTGATTCTGTGCAACCCATTTGGTTCGATGTATTCTGCAAACCAACCACATTAGTTAATTCTGCAACCAAGATAAACATGTTTCGTGAAGCCAGCTCAAGAGTCATCCTTGCAGACCAGCTGCTGTAAGGACAGTGGCTGGCTTCTGTGTTTCATGAAGGTTGTGCTGGCCTTTGGTGCCATCTCCTAGTCAAGACTGGCATTGCAGGCTCACAGCCATGAGGAGGAGAAAGTCACTCTGCCTCAACAGTCAAAATGCAAGATGGGGAAGGGGATGGAAGACAAGCCCCTCGAGGAACCATTAAAAGATGTGGGAACGTTTAGCCTGCAGACAAGATGACCGAGGGGAGATCTGAGTCCCACCTTCCACTACGTGAAGGTCTCTCCGCACCAAAGGAGTGGAGTTACTCTCTTGCCCC